GAAATAATGCAGCCTTTTTGTTAGTTTTTAAATCAACAACCCCTCTGAAGAGACCAACAGCACTACATAACAACAAGTACAGTGTCTGTGTGGCCACAGCCAGCCTTACAGTACACATCTATATCCTGAGCTGTATCCTTGCATTATGTAACATATCCATGGTTTACAATGGATAAGGCAGCATATTGTGTTGACAACATCAAATGGGTTTTCTGTCCCTTAAGATCTGTCCCCTAATAAGCGTATGCATTTAAATAAAATCTTTAGTGGCTTACCAGGAGACAGTGGACGTACTCTGGCCCTCCCACCAACATAGTGAAATTGCCAAGCTGCTCAGCCAAGGCCAAGAGCACCTCATCTTCATCGTAGATGGTGTCTAAATGATGACAGAAGACTGGTTATTTATTTTATATATATAATTTTACACACACACGTCTCAAAGTGTAACAGGATAACTGACAGCTATTGCAAAAGCATGTAATGGTTTAAAGTTCAACACATTCTGCATTTCTCCATGTGACAACAGGTTGACAATAACATTGAGGTCATAGCTGCTGTGTCAAACATCTGGTGACTGACTTCATTACCTGTGAGGAAAGGAAGGAGTTCAGTGCGAGTCCTCTCAACACCAAGAGCCAGAGCAATAGTGGACAGCTTCTTGATGCTGTTCAGTCGTAACTGTGCACAAAATAGGCAAACGTTAGTCAAGCGTTCACAATCACGTGTAAGCACATTTACCAGTGTCGATAAGTAACGTTAAGCCTCACGATACTTAGCCAAGCAGGATATACCATTTATTAGGGCTAACTACGGTCCGCGTCTTTGCATAAAAAGCGTTTCAAGAGACGATTAGCTGAGATAGCAAATATCGAAACGCTGGCTTAACGTTCATTGATAAGGCATAAACAGGTTAATAGCCGCGAGTAACACCCACTGCGGCCTTCAACGCCCTGCTGTTGTGATTGCTAACTTTAACGTTAGTCAATTAGCTAGCATACTGCTGTTCACCAGTGATGCGACGTTAACGTTAGCGGCTAAACCAGTGACCTGGTTAGCTTGTCTTTACGTTTCCCAATTAACTGTTTTACCTGTCCATTTCAGGTGTATGCAGCAATTAAAAAATACAACGAGAGTTAATCCAACTATACAATTAACGTTGTAAATGATGAAAGCAAACCAGCTAGATTAGCAAGACAGGGTGCGCCCGGCAGAACATTCCTGATAGGCCTTGGCCGGGAACGCTAGCTAACGTTAGCACATTAGCTAGTCAGCAATCAGATGCCCGACTGAGAAAATACGCCAGAATGGCTCGATTTTACTGTACAGTATAAATGAATATTAAAGTCGAAAATTACTACCTGAACATCCTCATTTCGCAGCTCATCAATGAGAACCGCGATAGGGTAGAGAGAGTCGTCTCCATCAGCTCCTGCCATTTTAGATACTGCTGAAGTTACCGAATGGCGCTGTTGTACTGCACTACGGGGTTTCTGCCAGAGAACAGCGGCTGCAGGGCCGTCTCTCTTCCGCCGCGGCGCTGCTGCTGCTGCTGCTGCTGCTGCTGCTGCTGCTGCTGCTGCTGCCTTCAAGGAACCACCGAGAAAACCAAGGAGTATAGCTCATTAAATAGGCAAACAAGGTATTAGTGGAAATGGGTTAGGAATTGGTAGCGCAGGATTGGTTCAGCATATGTAAGGGTGAGGGGAAATGACTGGGTTAATGATTTTGCAAAAAGGGCTTTAAAGAAGGGACACAAATGCAAATTAGTATCAGTAAAGCAGAGGTCAAATGTGTAACATGAGGGGGGGGAAACAACTAAATGTGGCAAGAAAGGTGGGACAGTGAGAGGAAAAGGATGCATCTGTATTCATTTTAAAAGAGTGTCAAACTTACAAGGGTAGTAGGACAGGAACACAGGAGAGAAGAGACTCCTGGCAATGTTGAGGTTGAGGCACTGTGCACTAAACAAAACAGTGAAAATAATTAGAAAACAACAGACAGGTTTGTGAGGGACATGTCACATTAAAGCAAAGTCACGGTAGCTTTTATAAGGGTAAGGGTTAAGGGTTTATAAGAGTTTTCTTGTAGTTTTTTTCCCCCACATGATATCATAGACTATGCATGATACATCCATGGTTCCTTACAGAATATGATGGATGAGCAGGGATATGGTGCTGACACGGATTGGGATCTTATAGTAGGATTAGGTTGTAAAGCATGGAGGACAAAATGTAGGGCAAGTTTTTTTTTGTGTGAAAGGATTTAGATTTAGATCGCCCTATTTCAAGGGCTCTGGATTGTAAGTCTATTGTCTGATCCACACTCCGGAGCAGAAGGTGGCGGTAATGTGGCAAATAAGCTGGACCCCGCTGTAAAACATAAAGAAGAAGAAGCGCTTTGTTTTGAAAAACGATGAACCGGATGTTTAATTCTTCTTCCGGCTTGGTCAAGATGGCTTCTCAGCAGCAGCAGCCCGGTGGGCCGATGTCTCAGGCCGGGTTACAACAGCCCACTTCATTACAACAACAGCAGCAGCAGTTAAGCCAACAGCAAGACTTTGATCCGGTTCTCAGATTTAAGATGCTCATCCCACAGCTGAAGGAGAGTCTGCAGGTAACTGCTGCTGAGACATCTGCTAACAATAGCATACGTTAAAGTTGGATTGAACGACTTCACTGGCAAAATATTGTAGTGTCGCAGATAAAGAAACTTTATTTTTCATTTTCAGAATGTAATGAAGATAGCATCCTTGAATTTGGCCCATAACACGTCAATTGACAACGGCATGTAAGTAGCCTTGTCGGGGGACCGTCAATTTACAACAGCGGCCTTGAGATGAATGATGTTTCTGCCACTGTCGGTCCTGGTTTTTGATTTGTTTTGTTTTTATTCTGGTTTAGCAAAAGCAGCGACGCCTCTGTTCAGCGCTTTGACAAAAGCCTAGAGGAGTTTTATGCCCTTTGCGATCAACTGGAGCTGTGTTTGGTAAGACTTAAACACAATATACACACCAAAGTACTGATGGGGAGCCAGGACTGATGGTGTATGTCCTTTTGTTCATTGGTCACCACAGCTGATACTAAAGTTCTCTCCCTTATTTTTACTTCAAGATTGTCTGTATTTATTCAACTGCTCAAATTTTTTTTTTCTGTTTTTGTAAATAAGAAAACAAATAGTCCAACCCTCTTAAAGCCACACATAGTTAACGTTTAACAGATGAGGGGAGTGAGTCACCATCCTGCCAACGCAACTCGCATCTTTATCTCTGTGGGTTTTTGAAATATCAAAGCTTCTGAGGTATTGATACAAATGTAGGAATGTATACACTGCAGCACAACAGACTTTGGCATCAAGATAAGACTGGGAATAAGTGAGGTAGTTTTTTTTGAAGAATTTCATCAGCAGTGGTTTAATCAAGTTTTCCTGTTCTGCAGTTCAAATGTTGATTGAGAGGCTTTCCCACCTTGTCTTTAAAAGAAAAAAAGTTATGTATCTGTCTGTGTATATCACACGCCACATACACTACAAAAACACATGCTTTTCTTCCCCTCTGTGCAGCGGCTGGCATATGAGTGCCTCTCCCAGAGCATCGACAGTGCCAAACATTCACCCAACCTGGTCCCAACAGCCACCAAGCCAGACACCGTGCAGACAGAGTCCATGTCCTATGCCCAATACCTCGGCATGATCAAGTCTCAGATCTCCTGTGCCAAAGATATTCACAACGCTTTGCTGGAGTGTTCCAAGAAGATCGCAGGAAAGGCACAGCCTCAGGGAATCATGTAGTCCTTGGCCCAGACCAACCCAACTCTTTTTGCATCTAGTGACACTTTTGAAAAAGAGGAAAGATTTCATATTTGGGGACGTCCCATATTCAGAACTCAGTCTTGTGCTACATTGGTCAAGATGCTGTTTCATTTTCTCAAGATCCTGTATATTTGGTTATGATTTTTATTGAAGTTCTGTTTTTTTGAGAACACTGTGTAAAGATTCCTGTGGAAAAAGTCATATTCTAAGATGACCAGCAGGTGGTGGCAGAGTTGTAGCAGCCAACTCAGTATTCACAGGTCTTTTGTAGCTTATTTGTATGGAATATTAAAACCTTTCTACTGATACTAATGTTTTCTCATTATTCAAGATGCACAAAGGAAGACCTGTCTATCAATAACATCTTTAACTAATGAGGAGGATGTAATGTTGGAGCATGATTCAAAAGTTGTGGGTACTGTAATATTGTGGGAAGATCATAAAGAAAATCTGCAGCAAAGTCTTTCGTTCAGCTGTGCTGTTAAATAACCACATAGTTTAATTTGACCATTTTATCTTATTTGTCTGCAGTAAAGTTGTATAAGCTTTAACACTGGATATAGTAAAAGGGGAAAATGTCACTCTTTTCAATGGAAGTGGTCACTTGCATTAAAAAATAGCCAAACTATTTGCCCTTGAAGGATCCTGTAAAAATATTATCTGAATGAACCCCAATTGAAGCAGTAGTGTTGATTCTGTGTGGCAACAGAGCCGTGGCCCCGGGGAATTTAAAGAGTAGACTTTTTGGGGGACGATAGTGCAATTCATATTGTAGGCTAATAGACTGGGTGACAGTGTATAACTATTATGAGCGTCACTATGTCAAGAGCAGTTACAGTACTGAGATTTCCAGGGTGTCAGTGAACTTGTTGCCTAGGTCAGAGGCTCCTTGCCATCTGTATATTGAAAGCTAAGGGATTCATGCAGTCAGATAGGCTTGCAGCTGTGTAACATCTCAGACCAATCTGAGCTACTGACAAGTACTTAGATCCAAAAATAGAAGTTAGTTCACCAGAATACATGCCCCTGCTCTCACAAGACGTCTGCAGGTCTACAGAAACAAACATACAGTTACTCATTAACAATTAAGTGTTTGTAAACTTATATTTCCTTATCAGTGAATATTAAAGTGAGTGGAACTAATAAACCAACCCACCCCCCCCCCCAAAAAAAAAACCCCCAACAAATTAATCTTCATATTGTCACATTTTTATTTTGAGACCATAGTCTGTGTTGACATAATTTATTTGTAAAGCTTGAATAAATATACATGAACAAAGCTCGAATTGTTGAGAATAATCCAGACGTTGTCGAGATATTGTGCTGCGCAGCACGGAGTTCATCAGATGAAAAACAAGAGAAACCAAAGTAATATATAAAAAGGGAAGAGTATTATTTTTCTTTTTACAAAGATTACATCAGATAAAATACATATATCTAGAGCATCCAACACTACACAATATAATTACAAAAAGACAATTTAGACAAGTGCATTAGTGGATTTCAAGCGGTCAATAAGTGGCTACATTTGGTGTCTTGTTGCATAATGAAAATTAGCTAATTCTATTTCTCTGATGCAACATTATATAAATGAATTGCTCTTTGACTGTTTATGTGTGATACAAGCAGTGCCAATGACCCTTAATTACATGTTAATCTATTTCTTACAATGCACACAAGTTTAATTTAATTGTTTTTAACACCAAAACATCCACAGATATACTAATCCCGGTTGTTGTAAAAGATCAAGGACCCTTTGTACCTTTATCGAACTGTTCTATAAGCATATAAGACTAATTACTACTGTTAGAGGAGTATTTTGCTGGTTTTGCTTGTTCTACAGCCAACACACTATAAATCACATATATTTCACATTCCTTTCAGCCATTCTCCAAAGCATACCATAGGATTTTAGATTTTTTTTTTCTACGTCTCAACTACCTTCATTTTAGGTTCATGCCACCACAGCATAGCCCCATAAGTCTTGCCATATTTATGTAAATAAGTGTGAACTGTGCTGAGATTCAAAATATCAACAGTGAGATGGGAGGAGTAATTTCACCCCCGAAAAAGCAAAATTAGTGTCCACTGGAATGGGGCAGTGACAGTGGGTGGAGCATGAGATGCTTGAAAGACTTTTAATAAGCACACAACCAGATGTTTTTACTGCTTTGTCGAGCCTTTCGTGTGGCGTTTACCCTCAGCCTTGCCCTTTGATTGGTCACTGTGGAAAATACAAAACGAAGGAAATAATCACAATTCAGATTCACTGTATCGTGAGGTGATAACAATATACTTATTTAAGTGTACGGGATGTGTGTACTATCAGTGTCTTGTTTGTCATTTGATCCTGAACTGCAGATTCTGGCCTGTCTTCAACATGACGCGGCATCTGAGCATGTAATACTGACCTGTGGGCCTGCTTGGAGCCGGTGAGGGCTGCCCGGTGAACACCACGGACTCGGGGTTCCTCTAGGCGAGACATGGGGCCAGATGGCTGAAACTCTGACACCTTCTGCTTCCACTCATCGTCAAAAGACTGTGCTTCAGCTGGGGGTGGAGGATCAGGATCATGTTAGGAAACATTTGTAATGTGGACTGATGGTCTAGAAGTACGTGGACAGTGGCATATTTGTTGCAGTAATGTTGCGTCCGAGTGGCTGGTCTACTTAACCACCAGACTTATCAGAGCACATAAACATGTATGATTTGACCACATTCAGACATCTGCCGAATGGCAAAAGACGGTGCTAAAGCTATGGCTGGCTAGTAAACCAGTATTTACTGTTTATGTAATCACAGTACAGTACAGTACATAATTTAATTGACAAAATTAGAAAGCATTCCAGAATGATTTCTGAAATAGCTCCATGTGGTTCACTTCATGCATTTATTTTAGTAGGAAATGTGCATAACTACTGCAGCAACTTGATAAAGGAGCAGAATTCAGGGATTTGAGAGCGCACTATCAGGGGATGGAAAGCAGCCCATATATACATTCCCTGTCTCACTTTCACGTACATTCATCCAGATTCTGGAAGTCCTGGATGAACTCCTTCTCTCCTGTTTTTTTGTTGTATTTCTTCTCAACAACATGGCCCCTGTCTTGGATGTGGTGACCAATGGCCATCTTCTCCAGACCACTCTCAGAGTCTTTAACAGCTCGCCGTGTCTCCTTGATCTGGTGATAAAACATTATTAAACCCATCAGACACATCAGTTGGTCCATGAGAAATCAGATTAATTCCAGAGATTAGCAATCAACACGTTTATTTCCTTTGTTCCTTTACATAAACAGTCCAGTCCAAATGTAGACAGTTAGACGGTTTGACTACTTACTAGCTAATAATAGTATCAATGGCTGCATTCCATTTAGGAGTGCCAGTTCCAGGGCCCGCAGCCTGCTGCACCAGCTGTGTGTAAGTTCAAACCTACCTATGATATAAATAATTTCTAAGTTGTGATTTCTGCTTTGCTAAAATAAAAGAGATTGCACCAGGGAGATAAGTTATAACAACTCTACGTAACAACTACATAGTTACACATACCCCAGGGGAGGTGTGAATCAGATAATGTCCCAGAATAATACTCACTAATGGTGATACAGCATCAGTTTTCATTAATTGCATGTCCTTTTGCAACCCAGTAATCCAGTAGAGACCTAATGTATTGCTATGACATTTTAATGTCGATCTAGCTTTAATACCATGTGCATTGATGCCAAGTGGCTTATGCCAGCCAGAAAGCTAACGTGCACGGTAACCGTGATGATTGAACTTACCAATCTTTGATTGTTTATTGGCCACTTAGTTATGACTTTATGTCTAAACTAGTTAGGTTCTGCCCCATGTAATCACAGTTCAACCAATTTTAGTAACTGATTAAAGTTACAAACTTACTTGTACTTATTAAGCCTCTAGTGTTGACTTTACACGCTAACTTAGGAGAGAACTTACACACAGCTGGTGCAATCAAGCATGGTTAATGTGTGTGCAGGATCACTGAAATGATCTCCAGCACACCTTAACGGAACAGAGTCATCATATACCACTGCGAGAAAAGTTAGCTTGCGATAATCTCCTCACAAGGAAAGGCCAGGGGGAAGTCATCACGATGATCACTCACAAAGGACAGAATGAGTGAGCCTTCCACATACAGCTTTACTTCTCTGAGCTCTGCACTGTGCTCTAAAGCACTGTGAAATAATGTGGTATAACACGCCTGATGGGGTACTTACCCCTCCAGGGGCACGGCGTGTTGATGAGGTCGCCTGGAAGACCTTGGGAGGCTCATTTCCAACTTTTGAATATGTCATGACTGATGAGGAGCTGTATGAGTGGGTGTTTGTATCTGTGGAGATATTCTCCTGGAACACACACACACACACACACACACACACACACACACACACACACACACACACACACACACACACACAGTTAAGCAAATACAGTCTATGTCCCACAACAGTCGGCGAAAGCAACAAAACAAAAAAGGAAGCGAACAACAAATTCAACGTTAGACGAATACACTCACAAAGTTTCTGTGCATCTCCTCCATCCTGTTTTTCATGTTGGCCATCATGTTGTCAAACATGCTGAAGGGGTTCCTCATCATGTCCTACACAAACACAAAGGGAAAAAGAACAGCCAAAGGCCGCAAGAGTTGAACAGCTGGGCTCGTATGCCACACAGTCACTAGGCATTATCAGCTTGTAAACAACTCCACCATGTGTACAAACACAGAATACAGTGTGCTAAATGCATCTTGCATGTGTGCCATCTGGGACACTGTAACTAGGACATTCACATTTTATCACCTCACAATAAGTGACCTAGTAACACTCGTAACAAAACTACAAACCAAGTCCAGTGAGCAAATACATATGTTTTTATTTAAGATTTTTCCTGTTTCCATGTTTGATGAAGGTCAGATTTACAGCAGGGTGTTGAACTTAACAGATTAAATGATCTGGAAATAAATCCTGCTTGTAATATTTGTTGATGACCGTGTAAACTATATTATATATATTTTGAATTAATTGTTGTCATTATTATATAAATACAAAGCACTGCCTTATGTTCATATTTATTTTCCTATTTAAAAACAAACAAACAAAACGTTTCTGTAGGGCACAGCTGGGGTACCACCGTATTTTGAGCCTGGAAAAACACTGCACACCACTCAAGACAGTCATGCATGTTGCAGAAAAATGCATCAATCACCATGCAAATGAAATTTGTTCACAGTAGATTAGACAGATATTCTGTGAGCGTGCAGTCAGGACTCAAATCTGACAGAAAAAGATGCATCATCATCATCATCATCATCATTAGCCTTGTACAACAGACACTCCTCATTAAATTGCACCCATCCCCTCCAAGAGATTTTCTTGACGGAACAAAGGTGATGATGTTGCAGTTAAAGGAGGAAAGCAACCCACCGGTCACAGTGTTTCCACAAGAATATATATATATATATATATTTAGGTGTGGTATTACTAGTGTGTGTGCTTTTGTGAGGAGGGTGTAATGACAAGTAAGTTAGTCGTGGGTCACATTCAAAATATTCCATACAATTCTGCAAATTACCTGTTAATTAATCTGATTAATTAGTTTCACAGTTAAACTTGATGTCCTATTATACAGCATGTGGAACAGGCATCTTGTTTGTGATGTGTAGATAGTGTTTAACATTTTACAGATATTACGGCTATTTTATCATAGTCATAGTTGCAACTTTGTCATAGTTAGAACTTTTCTATACACTGTAGTTACTACTACACTAGTGCACTTTTACAGCCTGCACAGCCTGAGGGTGAAGTGTGGCCTCAAGGAGAATAGGTAAGCTTTAAGCAATGTTCCAATTTCCATTAAACCATAATGTGACTGAGTTAAAATGATTGCTGGCAATATGAAGATGGGAATAACGCAGTACTTCATAGATTGGCATTATTTGGAGTAAATTTGGAGTGAATGTAGAGGAAACACTGGGACCAGTTATAGAGTTGGAGCATGCACTTGGCCAGCATGGGTTTAAATGAGAAACTCATATGATCGTGCAGTTGAACAGCAGAGGACTCTACTGACCGTGCTGTCACTACTGCCAAAGGGCAACAATGACCGGCTCATATCCTGGGGATTGAAACAATATCAGTTTAGCAACAAAGCATAGTATTTGTATAGCATGTTACACACACATGTTGACATTTTGCATGGTTGTTGAGGTTGTTGCCAGTAAGCTGTTAGGTTGTCTTACATCGGTCACTAAGCCCTCGACACAGCTACACACAGCTCTCCACATGGCCTCAAGCACAACCCTTCAAGGCCGTGAACCTCCTGAGAGTGCAAGCACCAAGGACTGGCAGGCCAATGAGGAGGGAGCAGCCTGCAGCCTTCAGTCCTGTGTTCTCTGAGCCAAAACCGCAGGTGTTCATGACCCTCCAGCCTTGGATAAGCATCGCGGTGTGTGTGTATGTGTCTGTTTGTGTGTGTATGTGTGTGCTTTCTTGGGGTGTGATGCACAGGGGTATTATGCGTAATCAGTGGGGTGTTGAATGACTTGTGTTCCATGTGTAATTGGGTCGCATTGCCAGAGATTAGCGTGGGTTTAACACTGAAACTGAGCTTCATTCTAGGAAGGCTGCAGTGGGCTGGACAGACCAGTCAGGACAGGGATCTAACATGGGCCAAAGAGTCCAAGGCTGCTCTCTCAGCTCTTTTCAAATGTCAAGCTGATGTAAAACGCTCCTGACCAGTATCTCTGAAGCCGCATGGCCAATTTTATCTCAGAGTGGCATGTATGAACTAATAAATGCCAGTTACATATCTGCAGCATTATATTTAGACCGGGGTTGAGCACAGGAGAGACTGTGGGTGCAAAATAAGGAACGTAGACCCAGTGGTCTTTAACACATTATTTTAGGCTGTCTGGACAACTGCAGATTGGCATCCTCTTTTCTATCTGATATTGAACCTGCCACTGTGCCCTCTGAGGCAGGCTGCTCCAGCTCCTGGGGGAGCTATGAGTCACACCATCGGGGACATGTACTGTCGATACAATTCATACTAAAATTGAGGTTGTACTGCAAACGCATAGCTCCTAGGAAGTGGTGCATCACCGGGGGAGTTAGAGGAATTTTGTTAAATGTGTGCTCTTGGAACTAGAAGACCATAGAGAAAATAAGGAGGCATTGAATCTGTCTTTAAAACTGCTGTAGGTGAATAAGGATGCTAAACTTCACATTGCCAAATGTTTCTTCTCACTTTTGAAGAGTGTCAGAGCAGGGGGAAAATATAAATCTACATCATAGATGATATCAGCTCTACTTACTGCCTTTTCCCAGCCCCTGTACCACCAGGCTTTCTCAGTACAAACCAAAGAATTATGGAAAGTAGTACACCTAACTTATAATGATGCTTGATTGTCATTCGACTGTACTTTTATATATAAGTGTCCAGATGAATGAGTACTTTGAAAGGTGATATAAACCGGGCGGTGGATACATTGGCAAGAGAGTGGGAAATGTGAGAACTCATAGCAGCCTTGGAAGGTAAGACGGGCCTTTTTCCCCACTGGGAATCTAACGCTTAGCAAGCTAATACAAGAAGTGCAAGCCTTTCAGTATTATGTGGCGAATGTGTGTGTATTTGCAAGTCAGTGTGTCGGTGTTATTTTGCATGCAGAGACTGGCTTGTGGAATCCTCAACGAAATCATCAAATACAAAAAAACCAACAACATATGATTTGATTAAGAACATGTATACAAAAAGTGAAGCGTTCTGCAGCACCTGGCCTCATCCTGAACGACACAGAGATCAGAGGTCTGCTGCATGTAGATGATTTAGTTTTGCTTTCACCTACTATAGAAGGTTTGCAGCAGCAGAGATTTTGTCAGACATGGACCCTGACAGTAAACACAGCAAAGACTAAGATAATGATCTTTCAGAAACAATACAGAAATCAGGTTACACACAATTTCTATTTAGACACCACTAAATTGCAATATACAAAAAACTAAACTTACCTTGGCTTCAACATTACATACACAGAAAACCTCAACATAGCTATTAAAGATCTACAAAGCAAGGAGAGCTTTCTATGCAATAAAAAAACATTAAAATCTATATGCCAGATGAAATCTGGATTCAAAATTTCCAATTTGTACTAGAACCAATAATTCTATATGGCTTAGAAATTTGTGGACCAAAACTAAATTCTGAATTTGACAAATGGGACAAAACAATCATAGAATCTTTCCACACCGAGTTCTGTAAGAGCAGAGGACAGAACTGCACTTTCTAACCTCATGCCCTAAATATAAAACATTAAGAGAAACACTTCAAAACATTTCCCAAATATAGCCTGAATTCGAATTTATATCAGACACACAGAAACTCCCCTATAACTCTGTGTCTAATCAGCCACCTGTTTACTGGCTAACACTTATTATTTATTCACCATTCTCTATTTTAGTACTTAACATAACATACTGTTATATTGTCATATTGTAGATACTGTATACCAAATCCACCTACCTCAAGTCATTACTCCTGCATAAAATACTTACTACTTATTTATTCCAGCATCCTTTGCACTATACTTCATTATGTGTACATGTATGCATGTATATGTACCTGTATATCACATCCACCTCCGACATGTACATACTCCTGCATCTTTTTGCAGTCTGCTCACTGCACTATTTGTCAATATGTCAATTGTCAATATGTCTATATTGTTTTTGTTAATAGTGTGTATATTTGTGTTGTCTACACTGAAGATCTGATTTTATTTTTATTATTGTGATATTTTATTTTTGTATGAGTAAGCACATCATCAGCAATGTACAATCCAGAGTCAATGTACAAATTCCTCGTATGTGTACACATACCTGAAACTCAGACCAGACTGATAATTATATTAAATAATCATTCTGAAAAAAATTCTAATTATTATTTTCATTGTTTGTTTTTTTATTTTCATTTGTTTGTTTTTTTAATTTCACATTTGATACTGATTTTTTTGTCTATTAATATATACACACACATGTTTACTGTTTTATTTATTTATTTAGTTTTAATTTTTAATATTTTATTTTATTTATGTGATGAACCACATGAACTGAACTTACATCACATGCACACGCTTACAGTTTTTTTATTTTATTATTTATATTTTATTTTATTTTTTTAATATTTAATCATTTATTTTTACACACAAAACACACACTTTTACTGTTTTATTTACTTTATTTAATGAACTGTATAAAATAAATTCTTTTGTAATTTATTTGTAGTTTGGCAATATTGTTGTTTTACATTCATGCCAATAAACTTGTTTAAACTAGACTAAACTAAATTAAATTGACTGTGCGTAATCATGCTTGTGAGCATGTTTTAAAATTGTATGTATGTGTTTGTGCATATATTTTTGTGTGTGCATTTGTGCCTGTGATACTGGAGAGCGGCATGAGAGTGAGCGGTCTGTCACCTAGCTGCTAACGCACCGGGGTTGCCAAAGCACTTTCTGCCAAAACAGATGGACCAAAAGAACAACAACGGGAAAAGTGTCTATGACATCCGCACACATGGCTTTACAAAGCCAAACAACGCAGCACCAGAGCTTTAGACCTCTGACCACTGCTGGGCACCACAAGATTGCTCCTTATATTCAGATATTTGAGATTAGTGTGTGTGGGAGTGGGAGTTCTTTGATTAAAAAAAAAGTAGATCTGTATGGTAATTCAGTTAAGCTTAATTCCATCTATTTTACCACAGAGTAGGTTTATTGTTCGTGACAATTAAGGGAGGCTATAGAAATATTTTTCTTTCAAACTGCAAAGCTCTCACATCTGCTTCCCCTATGCAGCTTGTGATCCAGCTCAGTAGAACCCTACCTTGTTTTTGTGCTGCAAAAACTCACCTCATAATATCCTATTGTTCCACAAAAAAAGAAAAACATAACTCTGCCAGTGGACTGAGATACTGTATTTTCATCATTTTCTGAAGGACAAGTCATGCAACAAAACATTTACAAAAAACAGTATATTACTCCTAATATTAGATTCAATGATTTGTTTGGATTGATATTTTGCAGTGTAGCTCCATTTCGCTCACTGTCACTGAGGTCATTAGTCAAGTGCTCAGAGCCCCTCCTCAGCTGGCATTAGCTAGTTAATGCCATGATGCTAATAAAGAGAGGTTGCTGGCTATTGGGGCTGGACTTCTGATTAAAGTCATTATCGAGGATAAATATACAGGCTCTCATGAGGTAGTGGGATCAAAGAAGATGACAGGGACTAAGTTTGACTTAGCGGGGATATATAAGGAATACAGGGGCTGATTTGATTTTGAAAGGTTAACGGGTGCAAAACATGGCAGACCAAATCTACCCCCCTGCCCGCCCGCTGGCCTTTTCATTACAATGCTGCACAAATAACATCAGAATCTTCCAAGGCAAACAAATGGTCAACGAGTACACTCTAACCACCATAACATGACCACACTTTTACAACCTTATTCTAAGCTAATACAACAGAATTGTGGGAAATTAAAGATTTACCGGGGACGTGGTTCTATTTGGAGACAAATTATATTTTAAGTTAACATAAAAACAAGGCCAAAAAGAATTAGATGAAAATAAACTGTTATTTTCTGCAGCAGCTCACCTCGGGAGAGCAAAGCAGAATTCTCTGGGGTCCTTTTGGTTTAAGTGTTAAAGAAGTCTGTACGTGTATTCGCAAGAAAGCAGTGTGTCAGTGGAACAATGCACTATAAATAGGGCTCCTCAGGGCTAGATATAACTGTCCACAGAGGCCAACGGGGTTGCCCTTCCAGTAAACCAGAGACTCACATGGCCCCATACCTCAGTGAGAGGTGCTCTAATTATGCTGCCAGTGGTCAGCTTCCACTATAACCTTAGTAAACTTAACACTCCCTCCAAACACTTCAGTGGTTATAAGCCACACAAGGCCTAACTGTATGAGTGAACTGCTGTAGCAGCGGCTTCAGCCTTTGTTCCACACAGACCCAAATGACATGTATGTCCACTAGGCACGTGTCTGTACACACATGGATACTGGAAAACACTGGGTATAGCGTTATAGCCTATTCACACAAGTAGACAAACCACTCAAAATTGTAAAAGGAGTGCATCTCGAAATGCATGTCCTCACCCTGTGTTCGCCCCTCAGCGCAGTGGATGAGCTAGGATGCTCTGTCATTTCACGGCCACGGTTTCTCCCATCCATTATACTGGGCATTAAGGGCACACCGTATGGCTCAGAGAAGCTACGCATCATTTGCCGCATATGTTCCCTGTGAGCCCGGAAAGGATCCCTATGGCAGAGGAAGAGAAAGTAAAGACAACGTGAATCTAAGGAATTTTGGAATTCTGTGCAAATCTGCAAGATGATGTTAAGGACAGCAAATCACAGCAAATCAGCATCCTCAAATCAAGTTCCTGGAGAGGAAAAAGAACTGAAAAGGTCTCTATACCACATATACTGTACTTCTATATAGAGCCGGCTGAAATGGGATTTTTTAGACTTATTGAAAATCCGATATTCCAATATATTGACCTATATTGTTTTATTTCTCCTTCTTTTCAGAAAGCATAACATAAACAAAGATTATCCCTAACATGTGTTATGTGTAGTTAAGAGAACTCACCAAGATAATACAATAAACTTTTTTTGTTGTTATAAATAGTAGAATAATTTATTAAATGTTTAATAACAAAGACTCAAATGTATACAAAAAAAGACAACCTATGCAACCACTCATACATGACTGAAGGATCCGTCTTCCATCTCTGAGTTTCTTTTTTAATTGTCATTTATCGGCTGTTATAAACACGGATACCGATGTATCTGCAATTAGCTCATATCGGCCGAAAATAGTGGCACGCCGATTTTTGAGTTGGGATCTACTCCTGTATTTAGTGACTTACATAACCTACACCAGCTTGGAGCCCATTACAGATAAATTCTTCAGTGACCACAACATATTTAAAAAAGAAGCACCCCTAAAATAATTTCAGCCACCCTTACTACTTACTTACTAGCCTTAGAGGTCAGGTCAAGTGTGGCCCCACTAACTCAGCAGGTGTTTCCTCATGTAATGAGTCAAAGTGACCAGTGTCAATGTAAACAGTTATTCACAAATGATCAATTACTACTTACTGTCTCTCACTTATACTGGAAAGTCTGTTACTTAAAACTGTATTTTATATTCCCTTCCTAATATGATACAATATATCAAAGTACATGGAGGAGACAAAATAATGCCTAGTCTCCCATGTCATTTTTTATTTATTTACATTAAGAATATAAAGTCACATAAAAATCAGTGATCTTACAGCAGCTGTAGTTAGGTAACAGCTTCTTTAAATTATAACTGGAATGGCTTTTGTGAACGTGATTTAACGTTACAATGTAATATAGTGTTAACAAGTTATGGACACAGTAGCAGTCACATGACAGAGCCCAAAGAAAACAGTTAACAAGCTGCTCAACTTACCTATAACGTTATGTGTAGGAAGCCACATTTTATTACTATTTAGGTAACTTACCTACACATCTAACTTACTGAGCCAACGTGAGTGAGTTACTAGGCCTAATGTTAGAACTTGGCCTAATATTTTTAATAAAAACAATCATTAAAAGTAGATCTCTTACGTTACATTTGTCCTTTTCTGCTGTAACCTTAACACTCGTTTATTTAACGTTAACCTGGTTAAAAGATAAGAACGTTAGCTTCAAATTTATATTACATTATTAGTTTGTGGGCATATCGCTAAGTTACCTATGGTTAGTTTGCTAATTTGGGTTTTCTTTCACAGTCCTAAAGTCTGTTTTGACTGGGCTAGAGCGTGGTAAACTGCTGATTTTATTTTAATTGATGCCAAAACATTCTAATAACAGGTCTATCGCAGTTGAGCTAACGTTAACGTTACTCACGACAAAAACGGATCCTCGTCAAACTCCCTGAGACTACTGCTGAACATGTCCGCGGATTTTGAAGCTGTAACCTAAAGCCGAGGAAAATATTTTAAATATAATAAATAATCCTTTTCGCCGCAGGTGTCCCAGCTCCACCGCTCAGCCTCGGTTACTATAGAGGAGGTGGCAATACAATTTCATTTAGGACCGAACTCACGCTGACACCGGCCATGTGACGTGAATCCAGCCCTCGGATTGGCTGGTTATTCGGGGCTTTGAACAGCTTCTATCCGCGGGCTGTATGTTGTGGGTGGCTGTCATGGCTACGGCACTCTAGAAATTTCTTACACAAGTCAAATTTTTAGTCTGTTGCTTGTGCATGTCAGCCCAAAATAATATATGTACTCTCTCAGGGTCTGTGTAACCCCTATTCAGCTACTTCTACCAACTCAGAACAGCAAAAATTATCAACAGTTGTTGAGATGAAGAAATCACACGAGGTAACTCTTTAGGATTAAATTACTACACTGTTTAATTTCTGAAGTGATTCTGGTTTGGTAATTGTAGGGTGAAAAGACATTATGGACAGCCACTTTACACCTAAGGAGGGTAAACACACTTCACTCACCCAGCAAAGCTTAATTTGTGTGCTTGCCTTAGCAAATCTAGTACATTCACATTTATTATTTCATTACAAGACCGACTATTTGCTAGGCATGGGAGTGACACACGGTGTCCCAGACTCAGTATAGATTTACCATCTGGTGGTTCCACAAATAGGCCTCAGAGAGCACTCTACCATCGCCTTAAATCCCTACAAACAGAAACAAAAAAACTGAATAAACATGAATCACTGAATATGAGTCTATGTATTTAAGAGGAGCAAAGCTTCTGTCAATCCTGATGCAGACAAAAGAGATAAGATTACCGCTGGGTGACTCATTTATCTACATCTATCTGAAGATACTGCTGCTATCTTACTTGAAAAAAAGTTTATGGTGACCAGGGAGTTGCTGTTTATCATTACAATCCCACTTACTGGTTTAGCTCCATCATTCACTCACAAAAATACAAGACAGTTTTCACTCCAAAAAATCCCAAAGCTATCTTTATTTACCTCAGCTGATTACAAAAGACAAAATGTATCAAATGCTACATGTACACAATAAAACAGGTTCTTCCTTCATTAAAAATAAATGAAGCCAAATAAAGAACAGTAGATTGTTCAATTGAATCACATTAATAAAATAATAAGCACACCAGGACCAAAAACTGTTCATTTGTTTAAGTTCTGACATGTTTTTACAATATATAGGAGACATTAGTGGAAATTTAAAGTAATAAACGTTGCAAGGTCCTAATACAAGACAGACACAATCAAAGCAACTGAAACTGCACTTGGAACAGGAAATATCTTCTGGGTTTCTGGTGTCCTTTAGGTCACAGGACTTCCCATGAGCCTCTCCTGCCGTAGCGAGATCAGTCTGCTGAGCCACAGCTCCTCAGCCTTCTCCTTGTCCATAAACAACTGCAGGACAGCATAGAGAGACAAAGTAAGTGAAAAATGAGGACAGGGAGGGACCACAGAACTAAACAGTAGAAAAACTGTAGGCCTACTTAAAAACACAAAATAAAAACTGCATTTCTGATATTTTAAGGTATAAAATTAAAATATTAGACGTGAGTGAACCAATATTCTATAAAACATCGGAAAATTTCCAAATCAAATGTCTTATTTTGACTATCAGTTGGAGGAATTTAAGGTGAAGTAATGTAAGACAAGCAAACAGCCATTTCTCACATTTGAGAAATTGAAACCATAAAGTCAATTTTCTAAATAATTTGAAATAAAAAAAATTTCTTTTTTTTTTTTTTTTTTTTTTTACAGGTAGACACATAATATACACCCCATACCTTGACCTTATGTACTTTCACATTAATTTCCCCCAATTAATTTGCCTATTTAAGGATAGACTGAATTCAAATTTGTAATGTTGCGCTCTATAAAAAAAAGTAACTTGACCGACAGCAGTGGAATTTGTTGACCCCCCCAAAACATTTCTAGTTTAACTACTTCTTTTGAAGCAGCTTATTCCACAGTCTCCTCTGGCAGTGATTGTAGCCGTAGTGTTATGATTGCCCAGTCCTGCCTTCCAAAACCTGAAGGAATGTGACAGAAATGAATGAGCTACGTTTCCTAGTAAGTTCCTGAGCTTGGCACAGAGTTGTCAGTACTGCCCATTGACACCCATGTGACCTCAGTATGGACTGAGTCACAGTGATGATCCTCTAAAACTAGAGTGAAGGCTGTGGTATCTTACATTTGTTATTAGTCTTTCCCTGTCTACTCACTTCAAAATGCTCATGAGAATAAAAAAACTTTATTTCCAACAAATAACTCATGTAGCTCTGTGGGCCTAGTGATGTGTTAGCCTGGTGACATAAAAGGCCTACGCATGCGACTTGTATTTGTCGCAATACATCACCAGCTGTATGTGATATTGATTGTAAGAGGGCTATAAAACTGCTGCTGCAAGTGTCTGATGAATGAAGGCATCTGTTTATTAGGAAGTAACATAATGACTATGAGACTGAGAAGCAAGGCACTGAGGCATAAGGGGAAATTGGAGGACCATTCCTGTATCCACTGTGTGTGTGTTTGTGTGAGAGTTAATGTTGACATGCCGGCTGTGCGTACGTACTGTACATCTATGTTATGATATGTGTCTATTATTATGCAGATTGTAGAGCAACCCCGACCACGTCAATCCTTCATTCCTAACCCACGCTGCTTACAGCTGCGCCGCATGTTATCTGTGTGTTAGATTTAACACCACTGAGTTCTTGTCTGTCTGCCCTGCGCTGGTGTCATGGTGCTAATGAGGCTGTGTGTGTGGGATGACAGTATCTGGGCCGGGCTAATGGGACTCATCTGTTCTAATTGGAAGTGGAGCTGGAGCTGAAGCTAAGGCCGGGGCCCGCCTGGGGCATATTGCTACCATACATCAGCCTGTCTAAGGGTGTGTGTGTGTGTGCGCATTTGAGCTACAGGGCTGTGTGTGTATTTGAGGGGGTTATCTGCATACATCAGGGCATAACTTAGTTTCCCCAGTGGAGATAGATGACTGGGAAGCCCCAGGGAGCGTTATTGGAGTTTAAAGTTTCCTTCTCGTTTTTCATCATTGGTCTGTAGGCAGGGGAGGAGGTGATGTAAGGAGGCTATAATCTACTATACCGCAGTGTCCCACTCTTTACAAAGCACGGTGTCAGAATATGCAGGACTGGTGTAAATGGTAGTGGTGTTAGTAACAGCAGCGGCATTTTTAAATGAAAAAGTTTACCAAGTTCGTCCAATCAATAAGCACCATAAAAACAAGACGGTACCCAAAAGATAAAATGACAAGAAGCGAGATCAGCTCAAGCTGTGGCAGAGGACTGGGAGTTGCTGACTGGTTCAAGGGGTGTAAAAAAATCTGGGTTATAGAACTGTATGACAGCTTGGTGTGATATTGAAGCAAACTGGAAAAAAAAATCAGTGAATGCTTTGCCTTGTGAGAACTTACACTGGGATGGGCGAGCGTGTCACTGTCATTGTAGACTATGGAGATAGGAAGAGTGATGTCCTGAAAATCTGCCCTCTCTGACTCCAGCTTCACCTCAGCTGGCTCAGCCTGTACTCACGGAAATACACAAAACATGCAAAAAACGGGTCACACTCACACTAAATGAGCACATTCAAACATTTAAAAAGGCTTTAGAGTACCCAAAGACATACTGATAAAGAAACATGACATTAAATATAAGCATATAAATGGTAGATGGGACTAATAAATTGTGAAAGCAAAATTTAAAAAAATAATATATCAGCCAAAGTAACCGTACATACATTATATATGCAATGCAAACAGAAATGAAGACTCTACCCATGGCTGCAAAACAAAAAGATCTTGCAGAGCAAAAGGGAAAGGCATTTTTTAATATTTGGAAAACATTTTGCTCTCCCAAATTATTTCCTGTTGGTATAAAACATTAACGGTTGTAGATGTCTGTACACTGACAATGAAAAATATACTATAAAGATCGGTATATATAACATCCTAAAAACATTTAGTATGTAGTGCAGAATAGGGACCCAGAAAAGAATTGTGAAAAAGCAATATGACATTTGTCCAGCAGATGGCAGTGAAAGTTTGGCTCATGCAATAAGCGTCTAGAAAGCAGTGTATTGATAGCAATCAGCTTGTATCTTGAATCAGTTTTTTACGTCTCATCTATCTGTGTGTGCATGCATGTGTTTCTCCCCTCATATCTTCTGTAAGTAAGACTCACTGTGCTAAATTAGCAGCTGCAGCGAGAACAGGCTCAGGTATTTAACACTTCAAAGAATCGGCTGTATGACACCTTAGCTTGGCGAGTTATGCCGCAACATTCAACACATTTTGTCACAGTTGAAGCCAAAGGAAATGTATCTTCCCCTTTCTTTACAACCGAGAAGGACTTAAAGCAACCATGAAGGTTTTCCGTCTGGTGAGTCCAAACTGATCTCCAAGAAGGAAATGGGATATTTAGCAATGATTCTTCCTCCATCCCTAGAGGTATTTCTTAAAACTATAATAAGCCCCATATTTGGAAGGATGGCCAGTTCTCCTTGTTGTACTTGATAAAGAAGAAATATCAAAATGAATACTTTGCCAAGCCCATTCATGTTTCAAACACTCCTAAACCCAGCCCCAGAGCAAATGTTTACCCAGTTGGAACGAGCTACTTAAAATTCATTTGGCAGGATACAAAAAGTGAGCGAGATATAAAACACACCGGCTAATAAGTATGGTGATGTGCCAAATATCAGAACTGCTCATCACCATTCTTGCTAATAATATGCTGAGCATACATGCAGCTTATTTGAAATCTTTGGCAATATTTTAAATTAAAATGGATTAATTAATTATCATTTAATTAAATAACCCAAAGATATCTGTTTAGGGTAGTCAAACAATGTTTAAATGTGCAGTATATGTAGCAGTTATTCTCTTCATTGGAGCCAAAGTTGTGACATAGCTAAAAGACTCTGAAAGACAGAAATCTTCCCAACTAAGAATTAATTTTCTGGATATCTTATTTAATAGTGATATTTGACTAATAATGAGAATGATACCCCAGAGATTAATCTGAAAACCAACAAAGATCTGTTATAAATTAGTTTTTGT